GGAGAGGTGAAAAGGGGTAGACAAGGGAGGAGAGGGAGTTTTGGGGAAGTATTTGGGTCGACAGGGAGAGGAGAAGGTGAAGTATGGGTCAGACAGGGGAAAGGGGAGGTGAAGTTGGGTCAGGACAGGAGAAAAGAGGGTGAATTATGGGTAGGGGAGGGAGAGAGAGGTTTAAGTATGGGTCAGACAGGGGAGGAGAGGAGGTGAAGTTTGGGGTTGAACGGGAGAGGAGAGAGAGGAAATATGGGTCAAAGGGAGGAGAGGGTGAAGTATGGGCAGACAGGGAGAAGAGGAGGTGAAGTATGGGTCAGACAGGGAGGAGAGAGAGGTGAAGTATGGGTCAGAAGGGAGAGAGAGGGGTGAAGTATGGGTCAGCAGGGGAGAGAGAGAGAGGTGAAGTATGGGTCAGACAGGGGAGAGAGAGAGGTGAAGTATGGGTCAGACAGGGAGAGAGAGGAGAGGTGAAGTATGGGGTCAGACAGGGAGAGAGAGGAGGTGAAGTATGGGTCAGACAGGGAGAAGAGGGTGAGAGGAGTAAGTATGGGTCAGACAGGGGAGGAGAGAGGTGAAGTATGGGTCAGAGGGAGAGAAGAGAGAGGTTTAAGTATGGGTCGACAGGAGAGAGAGAGAGGTGAGTATGGGTTTAGACAGGGAGAGAGAGGAGAGTTGAAGTATGGGTCAGACAGGGAGAGGGGAGGTGAAGTTAGGGTCAACAGGGAGAGAGAGAGAGGTGAAGTATGGGTCAGACAGGGAGAGAGAGAGAGGTGAAGTATGGGTTTAGACGGGAGGAGAGAGAGAGGTGAAGTATGGGTCAGAAGGGAGAGAGAGAGAGGGTGAAGTATGGGTCAGACGGGAGAGAGAGAGAGAGGTGAAGTATTTGGGCAGACAGGGGAGAGAGAGAGGTGAAGTATGGGTCAGACAGGGAGAGGAGAGGGGAAGTATGGGTCAGACGGGGAAGGGGAAAAGGGAGAAGGGGGGAGGTGAAGTATGGGTCGACAGGGAGAGAGGAGAGAGGTGAAGTATGGGTCAGAAGGGGGAGAGAGAGGTGAAGTTGGGTCAGACAGGGAGAGAGAGAGGGGGTGAGTATGGGTCAGAAGGGGAGAGAGAGAGAGGTGAAGTATGGGTCAGACAGGGAGGAGAAGGTGAAGTATGGGTCAGACAGGGGGGGAGAGGAGAGGTGAAGTATGGGTCAGACAGGGGGAGAGAGAGAGTGAAAAGGGTAGAGAGAGAGGTGAGTATGGGTCAGACAGGGAGGAAGGAGGTGAAGTTTTGGGTCAGACGGGAGAGAGAGAGAAAGGTGAAGTATGGGTCAGACAGGGAGAGAGAGAGGAGGTGAAGTATGGGTCAGAAGGGAGAGAGGAGAGAGGTGAAAAGTATGGGTCAGACAGGGGAGAGGAGAGGGTGAAGTATGGTCAGACAGGGAGAGAGAGAAGGTGAAATATGGGTCAGACAGGGAGGGAGAGAGAGGTGAAGTATGGGTCAGACAGGGAGAGGGAGGAGAGGTGAAGTTGGGGCAGACGGGAGAGGAGAGGGTGAAGTATGGGTCAGACAGGGGGGAGAGTAGGGGTGAGTATGGGTCAGACAGGGAGAGAGGAGAAGGTGAAGTATGGGTCAGCAGGGAGAGGAGAGAGAGAGGGTTGAAGTATGGGTCAGACAGGGGAGAGAAAAGAGAGGTGAAGTATGGGTCAGACAGGGGAGAGAAAGAGAGGTGAAGTATGGTCAGAAAGGGAGAGAGAGAGGTGAAGTTGGGTCAGACAGGGAGAGAGAGAGAGAGAGGTGATGTATGGGTCAGAAGGGAGGGAGAGGGTGAAATATGGGTCAGACAGGGGAGAGAGGGGAGGTGAAGTATGGGTCAGACAGGGGGGAGAAAAGGTGAAGTTTTGGGTCAGACAGGGAGGGGGAGAGAGAGGTGAAGAGGGTCAGACAGGGGGGAGGAAAGGGAAGGAATGGGTCGAAGGGGAGAGAGAGAGGTGAAGTATGGGTAGACAGGGAGGGGAGGAGAGAGGAGTAATGGGTCAGACAAAGGGAGAGAGAGAGGTGAAGTATGGGTCAGGGCAGGGAGAGGGGAAGGAGGTGAAGTATGGGTCAGGGCAGGGAGAGGGGAGAGAGGTGAAAGTATGGGTCAGGACAGGGAGAGAGAGAGTAGAGGTGAAGTATGGGTTTAGACAGGGGGGAGAGAGAGAGGTGGAGTATGGGTCAGACAGGGAGAGGAGAAGAGGTGAAGTATGGGTCAGACAGGGAGAGAGAGAGGTGAAGTATGGATCAGACAGGGAGGGAGAGGGGAAGAGGTTTAAGGGAAAAAGGGTTAAAAAGGGGAGAAGGGGGAGAGAGAGAGGTGAAGTATGGGTCAGACAGGGGGGAGTAGAGGAAGAGAGGGAGTGAGAGAGGTTGTATGGGTCAGACAGGGAGAGAGGAGGGTGAGTATGGGTCAGACAGGAGGGAAGGGATATGGGTCAGACAGGGAAGGGGAGAGAGGTGAAGTATGGGTGACAGGGAGGAGAGAGAGAGAGGTGAAAGTATGGGTCAGACAGGAGAGAAGAGGAGGTGAAGTATGGGTCAGACAGGGGAGAGAGAGAGAGGTGAAGAGGGGTTTAGACAGGGGGAGAGAGAGGTGAAGATGGTCAGACGGGAGAGAGAGAGAGGTGAAGTATGGATCAGACAGGAGAGAAGAGGTAAGTGGGTCAGACGGGAGAGAGAGAGAGGTGAAGTATGGGTCAGACAGGGGGAGAGAGAGAGGTTGTATGGGTCAGACAGGGAGAGAGAGAGAGGTGAAGTATGGGTCAGACAGGGAGAGAGAGAGGTGAAGTATGGGTCAGACAGGGAGAGAGAGAGAGGTGAAGTATGGGTCAGACAGGGAGAGAGAGAGGTGAAGTATGGGTCAGACAGGGAGGAGAGAGAGAGGTGAAGTATGGGTCAGACAGGGAGAGGAGAGAGAGGTGAAGTATGGGTCAGACAGGGAGAGAGAGAGAGGTGAAGTATGGGTCAGACAGGGAGAGAGAGAGAGGTGAAGTATGGATCAGACAGGGAGAGAGAGAGGTGAAGTATGGGTCAGACAGGGAGAGAGAGGGGGGGTGAAGTATGGGTCAGACAGGGAGGAGAGAGAGGTGAAGTAGGATCAGGACAGGGAGAGAGAGAGGTGATGTATGGGTCAGACAGGGAGAGAGAGAGAGGTGAAAGTATGGGTCAGACAGGGAGAGAGAGGAGGTGAAGTATGGGTCAGACAGGGAGAGAGAGAGAGAGGTGAAGTATGGGTCAGACAGGGAGAGAGAGAGAGGTGAAGTATGGGTCAGACAGGGAGAGAGAGAGAGGTGAAGTATGGGTCAGACAGGGAGAGAGAGAGAGGTGAAGTATGGGTCAGACAGGGGGAGAGGAGAGAGGTGGAAGTATGGTCAGACAGGGAGAGAGAGAGAGGTGAAGTATGGGTCAGACAGGGAGAGAGAGAGAGGTGAAGTATGGGTCAGACAGGGAGAGAGAGAGAGGTGAAGTATGGGTCAGACAGGGAGAGAGAGAGAGGTGAAGTATGGGTCAGACAGGGAAAAGAGAGAGAGGTTTAAGTATGGGTCAGGGCAGGGGAGAGAGAGGAGGTGAAGTATGGGTCAGACAGGGAGAGAGAGAGAGGTGAAGTATGGGTCAGACAGGGAGAGAGAGAGAGGTGAAGTATGGGTCAGACAGGGAGAGAGAGAGAGGTGAAGGTTTTGGGTTTAGACAGGGAGAGAGAGAGAGGGGAGTAAAGGGTCACAGGGAGAGAGAGAGGTGAAGTATGGGTCAGCAGGGAGAGAGAGAGTGAAGTATGGGCAGACAGGGGAGAGAGAGAGGTGAAATATGGGTCAGACAGGGAGAGAGAGAGAAAAGAGGTGAAGTATGGGTCAGACAGGGAGAGAGAGAGGAGGTGAAGTATGGGCAGACAGGGAGAGGGAGAGAGAGAGAGAGGTGAAGTATGGGTCAGACAGGGAGAGAGGAGAGGTGAAGTATGGGTCAGACAGGGAGAGAGAGAGGTGAAGTATGGGTCAGACAGGGAGAGAGAGAGAGAGGTGAAGTATGGGTCAGACAGGGAGAGAGAGAGGTGAAGTATGGGTCAGACAGGGAGAGAGAGAGGTGAAGTATGGGTCAGACAGGGAGAGAGAGAGAGGTGAATTATGGGTCAGACAGGGAGAGAGAGAGAGAGAGAGGTGAATTATGGGTCAGACAGGAGAGAGAGAGAGAGAGAGGTGAAGTATGGGTCAGACAGGGAGAGAGAGAGGTGAAGTATGGGTCAGACAGGGAGAGATAGAGGTGAAGTATGGGTCAGACAGGGAGAGAGAGAGGTAGGTCAGCAGTACAGGTTGTCCAACAATAATAAATTTTGATACTTATACCAATGGTTATTGATGCTTTTATGAGGCTGCAAATTTCAGTTATGTACGAGGAGACGGAGAAACACCGTGAACACTCGGTAATATTGATGAATAAGGTACTTGATGAATTAGACAGATGTATAACATCTGGGTATCATTATTGTAGACGTTTAGCCATCTAGTGGTTTTATCAGTACAAATTCAAAGTCATAATGTGAAGACTGTACAACTGTACACAAAAGTTCTGTGAAAGTATTTTGTACAAGTTGTACAGTCTTACCATTGTCTTTGTATTTGTATTGGTAAAGCCACTGGAGGGCGAAACGTCTACAATAAAAATACACAGATGTTGTACATGTACAAGGTATACAGACCACTGACATCAGTGACATACTACTATATAGAAAGCCGCTTGTTATGCTGAGCATTTCCCGCAAATTAGATCAGTTTTGTCCCAGGATGCGACCCACACCAGTCCACTAACACCCAGGTACATAGTTTACTGCTAGGTGGACATGGACAGCAGGTGTCTTAAGGAAACACGCCCTAATGTTTTCACCCGTACCGGGGATCGACCCCCGGACCTCAGTGTGTGAGCCGAGTACGCTGCCAATCGAGCTACGGGACACCATGGATATTATAACAATACAATGTGGTTGACATTACCTGGAAGTGCTTGTAATTGTTACTGCTAATGATGGATGGCATGGTGTATGCTTCGTCCCACACCCTCCACTGTCGCTACACGTACTGCTGCTCCCCTTGTGTTGGTGTCTGCCTCCCTGCCTGCCTTCACTCGCCTACTACCACTACCCTACCATCCTAAACATCACCCCTAACTTAACCCTTACCTCCTCTAAACTCCCACCCTTCCCCCCTGCCCCTCTCCTAAGTCTCTCTCCCTCCCTTTCCCTGTTATCACACCACTCCCCACCTTGCTATCTTATCCTCGACGTAGGTTCCCTCCCTCTAGTGTCCACCTCGTGATTATGTCTCATAAGGGGCACTCTAAGTTCCCCAGTCTTCAAATAACATGTTAATATTTTCCCACTATAATCTACCTTGTCTGTTTCTTAAGGTGAAGTCCAGGATCTTTTCTTAATTCATGGTATAGCACACAGTTGTGTTGTAGAGGTCTGACCTTCACTCACACCTCTACAACACAGTTGTCATCAAAGATTTGTTAACTTATACCATGAATTAAGTAAAGATCCTGGACTGACTCAAGAAATCGTAATGACTTCACCTTAAGAAACAGACAAAGCAAATGTGATAATAATTATGGACAGGGTTAGATTTATGTGGGAAAAATGGATTTGGATTTAAATTAGACAAGTTTAGAGTTAGAAAGGACATAGGAAAGTATTGGTTTGGAAATAGGGTAGTTGATGAGTGGAACAGTCTACCTAGTTGGGTTATTGAGGCTAGGACTTTAGGTAGCTTCAAATTTTGGTTGGATGAATATATGAGTGACAGGGGTTGGATTTGATTGGGACTTGCAAATGAGTGGATAGAGTTATCAGTGAGTATTTCTTGGGTAGCATTGAAAATTGGGTTGGGCAAATGTTTTGTTAGTGGGGTGTATTGTAAAGGACCTGCCTAGTATGGGCCAACAGGCCTGCTGCAGTGTTCCTCCTTATGTTCTTATTATAAGACAACTTAGGCGCCCCATAATACCTCAGTCATCCTCTCAGCTTTCATCACTCTAACAGGAAATTCTGCATGAATAAAAGCTATTAAGAACATAGTAAAGTGTAAACTAAATGTAAGTGTAATTTGACTTATGAAAATCGTAATGACACGATTGGAAACAAACCACGGGACGGGTGGGGATTGAACTAGCGGCAAGTGAGTCGTGAAACTCCAGCCCAATGCGTAAACCACTGGTCCAGCTTGCTGCAATAACATTCAACTAACTAGCTATATTTATACACCATAGGGAGCTTAAACACTGGCACGGGCTGGAGTTTTAAGATACTCGTGCCACGAGTTCAATCCCCACCCGTACCATGGTTTGTAAGTTTAATTTCTCAAGGTTTACCTGTAATCTTCCCTTGTCGGTTTAGCACTTTCTTTGACTATAACAATAATTACCTGTTATCTTAGGTGCTCAGAGGACAGCAAGAACCAGCATTCCTCTCAGAGTACAGAACGTTTAACATGTTTCTTCCTGGCACTGGTATGACAGGTGTAATCCTTCCCTGGACGGCTGGTGAGGCAGTGCCTTCAGTGGTAACTTGTGTGTCTCGTTGCCTGATACACTATTTCTTTGGCAGCGTCATAGATTACCTGAACTAAACGAAATAACAATGTGGATATTGTTAGTGTTAATATACACTAATGTATTATCTTACTGTATAATGAATCTTTCGTGATGTTAGTACTGCAACAGCACCACCACCAATAGCAGCACCACCACCACCAATAGCAGCACCACCACCACCAATAGCAGCAGCACCACCAATAGCAGCAGCAGCACCACCAATAGCAGCAGCACCACCAATAGCAGCACCACCACCACCAATAGAAGCAGCACCATCACCAATAGCAGCAGCACCACCACCAATAGCAGCACCACCAGCACCAATAGCAGCAGCACCAGCACCAATAGCAGCAGCACCACCACCAATAGAAGCAGCACCACCACCAATAGCAGCACCACCACCACCAATAGAAGCAGCACCACCACCAATAGCAGCACCACCACCACCAATAGCAGCAGCACCACCACCAATAGCAGCAGCACCACCACCAATAGAAGCAGCACCACCACCAATAGAAGCAGCACCACCACCAATAGCAGCAGCACCACCACCAATAGAAGCAGCACCATCACCAATAGCAGCAGCACCACCACCAATAGCAGCACCACCAGCACCAATAGCAGCAGCACCAGCACCAATAGCAGCAGCACCACCACCAATAGAAGCAGCACCACCACCAATAGCAGCACCACCACCACCAATAGAAGCAGCACCACCACCAATAGCAGCAGCACCACCACCATATCAGCAGCACCAGCACCAATAGCAGCAGCACCAGCACCAATAGTAGCAGCACCAGCACCAATAGCAGCAGCACCAGCACCAATAGCAGCAGCACCAGCACCAATAGCAGCAGCACCACCACCAATAGAAGCAGCACCACCACCACCAATAGAAGCAGCACCACCACCAATAGCAGCAGCACCAGCACCAATAGCAGCAGCACCAGCACAATAGCAGCAGCACCAGCAACCAATAGCAGCAGCACCAGCACCAATAGCAGCAGCACCAGCACCAATAGCAGCAGCACCACCACCAATAGAAGCAGCACCACCACCAATAGAAGCAGCACCACCACCAATAGCAGCAGCACCAGCACCAATAGCAGCAGCACCAGCACCAATAGCAGCACCACCAGCACCAATAGCAGCAGCACCACCACCAATA